GAAGGGGGGGGTATGAGGGAGGTGGGGAGTTATATTGTAAAAATTTTAAAAATTTTCAATTAAAAAAAAAAAAAAAAAAAAGACAGCTCCTCCCTAGAAGTTCTCAGAGTATATCTTTAATGATGCAAGTAGCTTGCTTTACAGGTAATCCTCAACTTACGACCACAATTGAGCCCAAAATTTCTGTTGCCAAGCAAGCCAGTAGTTAAGTGAGTTTTGCCCATTTTACAACCTTTTTTGTTACAATTGTTAAGTGAATCATGTGGTTGTTAAGTGAATCTGGCTTCTCCCATTGACTTTGCATGTTGGAAGCCGTCTGAGAAGGTTACAAATGGTGATCACATGACCCTGGGACACTGCAACTATCATAAATACATGCCACTTGCTAAGCGCCCAAATTTTGATCACGTGATCATGGGGATGCTGCAACAGTCAAAAGTGTGAAAACCAGTCATAAGTCACTTTGAATGGTCATTAAATGAATGGTTGCAAGTTGAACACTACCTGTAGTTTGACAAGATTTCTGTCTATAGGTGAGGAACAATAAAAGAAACTACTTAGAAAAAACTCTATGCGTCTTTCTTGCTCTTTGGGTCTGACAAGATCACCCAATTCAGTTTTTCTTGGAACAGAATTTTTAAAGTACATAAACTTGTCAAAGGTATAAATTCATTGTAGAACTGAAATTTGCAGTATAACAGAATACGTAGATCTACAATCTTGATTCATATCTACCATCAGAAATCCAAACTCCCAACATTGTCTATAAGACAAAAGCTTTCCACCTGGACTGACTCTGGGTGGCTCTGTGTTCAGCTGAAAGGGTGTGGGGAATGTTAACATTTTTAAATACTTTAGCTATGCACTCAGCTTGATACTGAAATGGAAGATGACAGGAAGCAAATTGTTCTTACAGTATGTATATAAGCAAGACAAATATAACAGGACAAGCAACAATTGCAATTAGGTGAATTGCACACATACAGGTGTTATAAGGACCTGCCTCAGCTATTCCTCCAGGAAAGCATAACTCAGGAAACAGGCATTGTTTCAAAGAGGATCTTTTACTGAGAGAAAGTGATTGCAGATTAAAAAGGCAGAATCTGAAGTTCCCGTGCAAAAGTGTTTAGCTAAAAGTCCCATTTCTTCAGCCCCACCCCAATGCCCCAGTCCATCAGGAGCCAATCCGCTGGCGTGAAAGTGTTGTGACAACTTCGAGCTGAAAAGGTGATAACCGGTTGCTTCCTGGCACCTCGCTCTTGCCAGTCAGTAGGAGTGAAAACAGATGGCCCTCAGGGTATTCCCTCCTCCCAAATACCCATGCAGACACATCAAAGCGAAAGTAGAAACAAATGCTAGCAATACAGAAACATCCTCAATCCACACCCCAGCATGCTCCCCCTCCCCTTCCTTATGGCAGCGTTCCAACTGGACCTGACAGGTGTGCTGATAAAATTATTAATTTGCACTTCCTGAGGCCCTACATTATGTATTTAGTAGTCACAGCTATTGTTCATATAGCCACAACTGTAACAATGCCTACAGTTCAGTCCTACTCAGGTATGTTTCTTCAGCTGCTAGAATGTGCAAATTACCTGAAGGTCATTCTATAAACCAGAAAAGTATACAGCTTTAAGGATGGGCAAGGACTTTTTCCATACCTGTCTCAGCGTTTTCATGTATAGTTTTGTATTCTGCATGATCTAGAGCCAAAGGGTTCATATCTGTTTGGTCTGATAAAGGAACAGATAGTGATGGTTCTTGATCTTCTGTTAATGATTCATTCTGGCTCTTTTTGTCACCATCACCATTGGCCTCTAATGCTGTGGAGAAAACTATAATGGTCACAAAAAATACTTCAGTTGCTCTGACTGAGACATCAAAGGCTTTATATTCTGACTAACTGCTGGAAGGGTAGCATTTGCTGTTATTACTGTTAAGTTATGTAATGTCCTTAAATGGATGTAGAATAAGGCTTAATAGTAGCTTTTCAATACACCTAAAGTTTCTCTCAATGAAGACTGCAAGAAATATGCAATGATTTGTTTCTTGTGTACACACAACTGCTGCTCACTAAGCAGCAAACATGTTTCTTACTGAAGCTAAGCCATTATTTGGTGCCTTTAATAGGTTTTAAGGGTGGATTAATTAATTTTTAATTAATCATTTTTTAAATTGAACAACTAGGGCAGGGTATGTACAAGCATATCCTTTGGGTTAGGGCAGGGGTCCCCAACCTGCCGCGGCCACGGCCTGTTCGAAACCAGGATGCAGGAGAAATGGGCAAGAGTACGTGAAGCTCCACTTGTGAGAGTGGTGGGCAAGCACGCGCATGCGTGCGAAGCTCCACTCTTGCAAGCGGAGGGTACGTGCACTCACACGTGAAGCTCCATCTGCCTGAGTGGAGCTTTGTGCACGAGCGCAAGAGCCTGCCACTTGTGCAAGTGGAGATTCACACGCAAGCACCCTCTGCTCGCATGTGAAGCTCCATTTGTGTGAGCGGAGGGTGCACGTGCGTTCGCCTGCCACTCACACGGCCCTCCCCGTGCCGAGCCAAGCCGCCAAGCTGGAAAGGTTGGGGACTGCTGGGTTAGGAGCATATTGGTTAGCAAATATTGGTTTAATTAGACTTTAACAAAAGCAGAGAAGAAAATGTGGACTGAGAGGGATAGAAGGAAGCTGTTAACTGAAGAAAGGAAAACTGTTTGCACAAGTAAAAGTATTACATAAATACAAATAGCTTTAGTATTAGTTATACTCCAGTCTTTCAAAAGAGATTTTTTGTACCTTTTTTAGAGGAATCTGGTGGATGATCTGTTATTTCTTCCCAGGTTTTGCTCACACCACCTTCAGTACCACTTGCTTCCACTTGTACCATGTGATTCCCCCACACTTTTGCATTAGGATTTAATTCAGAAACCTTGGCTGGCTCCTGTAATGCATAATGCACACTCAGAACACATATGCTTATTAACTGCATAAGCACACACATATATATACAGAACAGCATTTATCACATTAAAAAAATCACTGTAACAGTTGCATATATAGGAAGTGCACAATATGTGATGAAAGATATAAGCTTTATAAAAAGAGACTTCCTATAAAGACCTTGAATCAGGGTGTTTAGCTGAATTCACTTTAAGTTGCTTGTTAAGACTAAATCAAAAGCATCTTGTTTTTACATTGTTCCTTATTATGAACAAAGTATTTGTCTACATTGACTAACTTCTTAAATTTGTTCCTCTGTACAAATAAAGGGATGGATTTCCATCAACTTCCTGTTTATCTACAGTCTCTTTGCACAACATATGCCCATAACATTCTCTGTATCCTCACAATTCCCAGGAACAAGCTTTGGAGGAACAAGAAAAAGATGGTAACAAATCTTATTTTTGACAAGAAAGCTAGATCTAATCCTTTGTAAATATTCAAGGTTTATGTCAACTTTTCTCCTCTAAACTGAGAACATTGTAAGATTAGTGTCAGATATCTTCATCAGTTCATAATAAAGGCAGCAGTGAACAGGAGAACAAGGGAGCCACACAAAAAGACATAATAGAAAAATCAAAAGCAATATTGTAGTCTTATAGTAGTCATCTAAAATGAAAACCATTTGTTTTACCAAGAGGGATAAAGATAACTATTTTAGAACCATTTAACCAGTGATGACAGAGGATGACTTGAAAGTGAAGTTTGAATACACTATTGCCTGTATTGTGAGCCCAGCCATTAAGTTGTATATGTCATGCTCCGGCTGAGAAGCCCAACAAAGCAAAACACCAGAGACATTGCGATCTCTAATGTAAACTTTATTAGGCATTAGCAAAAGAGTACGATAGAAGGAAAGCTAGCTCTGAAAATATGGCAGGAAACAGTTAATTAAAAGAGTAAAACTTTCCCTCCCCTCTCTGACAGTTCAGGTCACATTATCCAATTAATCTTCCAGCAATTGTTATGAGAAGAAACTTTGGTTTGCCAATACATCTCTTCAGCAGCTTCCTCTCTCACACTGATAGGGAGCACCTGTGGATCCCAAACGGTCCCCTCTCCCCCTGTAACTGTAGACAAACTAGAAGCACTATGGCAGTTCTAAAGACAGTAAACTTCGTAGTATAAACCAGGGCTTTTCAACCTTTTCACAGATTGTACCACTTTTAGGACATGACAATATTCGAGTACCACCAGTGCTTAGCAAGGTGTCAAAAACTTGATGACCAAAAAAAAGGGGGGGGATTTGGGGTTTTACTGATTAGATTGATTTGTTGTTATAGAAATGGCTAGTTTATACTATTATGAAAAAGTAAAAAGTTGAGGTTCGATGTTAATGCTTCATTCTACTGCAACAGAGGAAGTCGGAATCAATGCCTTTTCTTTTCTTTTTCTCTTCTCCCCCTCACTTTCCCCATTTTCCTCCCCACTGTGTCCTACTATTTGCTTTTGTATTTTTGTATTTTATTGTATAATCTAATAAAATGTTACAAACCGTAAAAAAAAAGGAAAAATGTACCGGTTTTACTCCTTTTATATCCTCTCCTCTCTCCTCCTTTTATATCTTTCCTCTCTCCCCCTCCTCCTCCTTTTATATCCTCTCTTCTCTCCCCCCTTCTCCTTTTATATCTCTCCTCTCTCCCCCTCCTTCTCTTCTCTTCCGGGTACGCTGGAAGCGCCGATCAGCTGGAGCCACGCACACTGATCCTAGGCTCTCAACAGAGCCTTGGCAACACCCCAGCTCCAGCTGACTCTCCCCCAGGCCTCTCTGGTGCTGCCGCCACTTCAGCTCATCCACCTTTACATTTTTTTACACTTTTTTTTATATTGCTTTTCAACCCATCGTACGTGTACCACCCACCAGGTGCCAACGTACCACCAGTGGTACGCATACCATGAGTTGAAAAGCCCTGGTATAAACCTTGGTTAACTGCTCAACACAATGTCTGAATCACATAACCCTAAGTAGGTATGTAGGCTGTAAGTCCAAATTCAGACAACAACAATTTAGTCAACAAATTATAATATGCATGATTAAAACCCTCAAGTAAAATTTACGCTAAAACTATTGAAATCTTTTAGGTTTATAGTTCTCCATATTAACATATTATCTTACAATTGAACTAGCTATAGCAATTCATGTGTTACAATAAAATATATATTTAAATGTTTACCATAATATAAATGGGCCTTTTAATTAATCCCCTTAAGGAATTAGTTTTAATTGTACTGGGGTAAAAGAGTTATGCCTGGGAACATTTTAAAAAAGATTAATACACTGCATTTATATCAATGGATGTCACTTCTCTTTTCCAAAAGCATGCATAAGACGCATGCAGTATGTTGCATGAAGATAAATGGTTAGCTCTGCCAACAATTAATACTATAAAATTCAGTCCCTCAAAAACAGAATTAGTAAGGAAGCCACTGCCTGACTATTTTTAAACAATGGCAATATTCAAATGTCGTATTAAAACATGTTTGGTTACAAATCCTACTTAGGCAATATTCATGTGTTCTTAATTTGTTTTCTCAGGGTGCTGGGCTCCAACCGCCTACCCACTCACTTTTGGGAGAGCGGTAAAGACTCGGTGAAGACTTGAGATGGAGGAGAAAATTGAAACCGCTGCTAGCTGCAACGGGACTCAGGCTGTCAGAGGGCAGGCAGGCGCTCCAGCCCCCGAGGAGGCGTCACTAGCAGGGTCTCAGCCGAAGACCAGGGTGATTCAACCTGGGAAACTAGCACCGCAGGAAGGAGCTACAGCCCTAGCAGACCTCTCCAAGCTAACACTGCCCCTTAGCACAGAAGCACTCCTGTAACCGCTGGAGAGGAGCTCCTATTGCTGCTGTCCCTGTGTTCTTCATCTGAGGATGGCAAGAAAGGAAAGGGGTCGATGGGATGGGACGACTCCGGTAAGTGGAGATTTCAGTCCACAGTCCCTCACTTGAACAGCTGAAGGAGAAGTTCGGCCGACTGGAGGTGAGGGATACTTTTCTGACCTGGCTCCCCAAACACAACAGACGTGCCAAATAGTCTCTAAAGTTCCTTTTATTTCAGAAACGCCAGCAGTTTCACACAGCCTCCAAACAACGGAGCTCGCTCCCTTTTCCCCTGTAGGGGTCTCCCAACACCCAAAGTTACTCTCAGTCTCACCACACTTACAACCAAAAGTCCTTCAAGCAAGCTGGCTATTTTTCAACATAAGACATGCCCACGCTCAGAAAGCGCTCCGACTGCCAGTGCCACAGGATCTACAGAAAACTACAGCAAAATTCCAATTAGAAGTGTCAGCAGTTCCAAATACAAGTGGCTGACCAGCAGGAAGATGAACAGTTGTCTACCACACCTATTTGTCTCCTCCCCTGCCTTTTATCCACAGCTTAGGGTGGGGCTCCATTAGCAGCGGTGACTCTTCCATCCCGAAGACCGGCCCATAGCCTCTCACTGTTCTCTTCTCAGCTTCCGCCACGCCTGCGCATCACTGGCCCCATGTGATCCGACTCACTTGCCTCAAGGCATGGAGGTCTCAGCCTTTCCATCTGAGGGCTGGCGGATGGCCCAGGCTCCGCCTCTGTCCCTGGCTGCCACAGCTCCATTCCTTTGCCGGAGCTTTCAGATGGCCCTGATGCTGGGGCCGAGGCCAACTCCTGTGCTTCCTCCTCCGAGTTGGCTGCAGAGTCCTCCAGAGGCCGACAGGCCACACCACTATCCCTCACCACAGGGCCCTTCCCCTGGGGCTGACGATCCAGGTGCGGCCATGAAGGGAACCAGGTGTGGAACTCTTGGACAAGTGTGGGAGCACGCACGTGGGCTGCTTCCTCCCACATGAAGTCCTCCGGTCTGTAGCCCTTCCATTCAATGAGGTACTGGAAGCAGCCCTTGAGCCATTGGGAGTCGCGGATGCTGGAGACCTCGTATTCGGTGGCGCCGTCGTCATCAAGCACCTCCGGGGAAGGATGTTCCGGTTGATGGAGTGGGCAGGCCGGCTGCTCCAGGACCAGGAGAGACCGATGGAAGACCAGGTGGACTTTTAAGGACCGTGGCAGGATCAGCCGATAGGCCACTGGATTGATGATGGCCTCGACGGGAAAGGGGCCCAGAAAGCAATGGTCCAGCTTCCTAGCCAGTCGATCGGACGGGAGGTGTTTAGTGGATAACCACACCCGATCGCCCATGGCTAAAGCAGGTGTCTCCCTTCAGGACGGGTCCACAACCTTTTTGTAGTCCTCCTTGGCTTTGTCCAGCTGTTGCTGGACTAAGCAGTGGACCGCCTGTAACTCAGCAAGATAATCCTTGGCCGCGGGTACTGGGGAGTCAACCGGCGTGAGAGGGAACAGCCGGGGGTGGTAACCCACATTGGCAAGGAATGGAGTCATACGTGTGGAGGTATGCTGGGAATTGTTAAAGGCGAACTTGGCTACCGCTAAATAGTTCGCCCAGTCGTCCTGTTTTTGGTTGATAAAACAACGCAGGTACTGCTCCAGGATTCCTATGACCTTCTCCGTCCCTCCATCCGATTCTGGGTGGTAACCCGAGGACAGGCACACCTGGACGTCGAGGGCCCACAGCAGTTCCTTCCAAAACCGGACCGTGAACTGCGTCCCTCTGTCCGAGATAACTTTGTCAGGCAGTCCATGTAGCCGGAAAACATGCTGGACAAAGAGCTAGACCGTGCCACGGGCTGTCGGAAGCCCACAGCAGGGAATAAAGTGCATCATTTTGGTCAACATGTCGACCACCACAAGGACTGTAGTGAACTCTAAGGAAGGTGGTAAGTCCGTTAGAAAATCCATGGAGACTGCCCCACAGGGCCTGTTGGGAGTTGGCAAGGGGTGCAGAAGAACCGGGAGCACCCCCATCGCATATTTGGCCTGCCGGCATCGACCGCAAGACACGACATAGGTGTGGACGTTGTGCCGTAGGCGAGGCCACCAGAAGGT